ATTTCGAAGGGCGGATACGGCCTGTGGCAAGTCCCTCCTCGATGAACTCGTCAAGTTCGCGCTGTTCAAGGGGGAGATCGGATACACCTTGCAATTAGCGGGCTTCGCGTCGGGAACGAGTTCGATAGCGTGGTCCCAAGCCCTCCGCTCTGGTAACGTGTCGAAGGACTCCTTGTCAAAGACGTCTTGGAACTCCTTGGCCCAGTCCGGAATCTCTGAAGGGGGGGGGCTGAGTTACGGGCGAAGGCCTCTGCAAGGCGTTGGGACACGGTGCTCCCAGCGCGAATCTCCTCGATTGGGCGAAAGGAGGTGTAGAAGATGCGGTCGCCGTCTTCAAGATGCTCGTCGCCGTCGAGATCTGGTGAGGGCTCCGGAGGGTCCGAAGCAGCTCCGAGCTCGTCGTCAGCATCATCTGGGCCAGCGATATCGATAGCGCAAACAGTGGGGAAGGCGCCCGCAAGTAGTCGTGATTTAAGGAGTCGGAGCCGCCGAACCTCGGCGCGTTCGGTCCGCTCTTCGTCACGGCAGGTAGAGCAGCTGCAGGGGGCAACGACTCATTTTCACCTCCTTTGTTTCCCAGTTGATCTCGGGGTTATGCTTTTTGAGCCAGGAGTATCCGAGTATCAGGTCCTGTTTCCCAAGGTGGGTTACAGCCAGCTGAACGCGTTCGGAGTGTCCGTTGTACCGTAGAACGAGGTCCGCGATTTGGCGAATAGACCCAGCATCATTGGGGGTGCCGTCGACGTTGTAGACCGGGATGGGTACTGAGAGATTTCGGACTGGCACATTATTCCGGTTGACATATTCTGTGTCGATAAAGTCCGAAGTAGCCCCGCAGTCGACCAGACCCGAGAGGGAGAGCTTGAGCGCGTTCGCAGTGGACTCAAGTTCAAGGGGGAGGTGCAGCGAGTTAACGCCAGGAGCGGCAGAGATGGTATAACTGCCAGGTAGCTTTTTCTCCCAGGCAAGTCGGCGAATCCGAAGGGGGGCTTCGGAGGGGGCAGAGGGTGCGTCTTTCGTTTCGGGCTCGTTGTAGGGCAAGGGAGTTGATTCATCATACAAACAAGTGAAACGATTTATGGACGCGAACAGAGGGCACACCAGTCACTCGTCGCGGGGGACAAAATCCTCTGCCGGAGCCTCCGAATGCGCCTCCGCTAAGGCCGCAGTATCGGACAACCGCGCAAGCAGCTCTCCCAGCATCTCATCGCCAAGTTGCTGGATTACCTCGTCGAGGATGTCCACATGGCGGACGTCGCGGGGAGCGGACAGTCCCGAGCCAAATGGTTGGGGTCGCCGCATCTGAAGCAGGCTCGACGAGGGGCACCCCGAGCCCTAGTACGATCCAGCTCCATAGGGACGGGAGCCGGAGGTACCGGGACGGGGGCGCGGGCCGCGGGTGGCACAGGCGGGGCCACCGGGCGGATGGGGAACGGAGTTGCCGAACGAGTGATGGGGAAGGCGCCGCGCGGAGCTCCCGAGGCGGTCGCGGGGTAGCCGTTCCCTTAATGAGCTTCGCTCGCACCAGGGCTTCATATTGTCGGAAAGCCCGAGTGCGCCAGCCCAGATAGTCACGGAGGTCTGGGGGGTCGTTCGAAGAGGTGATGCCGTTGTTGATCAAGGGGTCAAGTCCGTGGCGATACTTGGTTACCTTAACCAACGCGTCTTGAAGCCAGCGAGGTCCATCAAGTCCTCGAAGTCGTCGGTATATCCGTAGACATCCCGCGTTCCCATGTGATAACCACGCTTTCCAACTTAGCGGCGCGAGGTCCTGTTCGTTCTCCTCGACGAACCGAAGGCGAAACTCGGAGAGGAACTGGCTCCACCGAGGGAAGGGGAAGGGGTTTTTGCTCCCATGACGCTCTGCCCATTGCTGAGCAGGTCCCTCCGCCATATAGGACATGGCGTAGCGGACGGGCCTTTTCTTCGCTCGGCTCTCCGTTAACTACGAAGGCCTCCGGGGCAAGCCGAGCGTAGGTTTTGACCGCGTATAGGAAGGCGCGGCCGCGTTTGCGATCTCCGTTAAACGCAAAGGGGGGTTTGGTCGTAAGACCAGTTTTGAGGCGACAGTAATGTCACCAAATAACGCATCCGCGTCGGGGGCATTCGGAGATGCCGGGGCGGTTCGGGAGCTGCCGGAGGTGGTGCGGCAGCGGAAGCCTGGGAAGCAAGGTGGGTGAGGATATTGGTGAGGTTGTCTAGTTTCACCTCAAGTGCGTCCATGCGCGCGTCAGCGTCCGGAGCAGCTCCGGTAGACATAGCGGGCGTAAAGACGACAAGAGCAGAGGAGGAGGGGTCAAGTGGCAGGGGCGGTGACGAGGGGGGGTACGGACTCGTACTCCGAGCCTGAGTCAGCACCAAACCTGGCAATCTTGACCGGTTAATCCCGTAGAGAGTTTCTTCTGCTGTAAGGGCAACCCTGGAGACTCCGACGAAAGCCTAGCAGGGGAGGATCCAAAGCGTGAATAAGACTACAGGAAATACACGGAGGGACCGACCTAGCAGGGGAGGATCCAAAGAGAAGAAACTCTAAGGGTCCGCCTGCTAGGGCGCCAACTATATACTGGTCGTCTGTAACTGCCGACGTAGAGCGCAGAAGGCCTGAGCGGCGCGCAGGCTCTGTCCCAAGGTGATCGTTGGGAGGGTCTTGACGGATCGGTGATTGTGCGGGCGAAGGAGGCCGTGGACGATGGTCGGGGTGGGTCGGAGCGTCCGAGGGGGCGCCGGTCGGATGCGCCTCGGATGCGTTCGGAGGGTCCGAAGGAGGCCGAAGCGGGGGTTCCCCTGACACACCCTACCAATGATGCATCATGCTCCTCAGAGTAACAATCCCTCTTGGTGTATTAGTCAACTACCTTATTATTACTCTTATATTAACCAGATGTCCTGTGAATGTATACACATGTTTGGCACTGGCCTTTAGCGATGGCGGCGTCTGGTTCGGGCTTCCGGTTCACACGCGAACCGGACCGAACTGAATGGGCGTTCAGGTTCAAAGTTCGGCGTGGCGCCGAACCTGAACCAAAGGTTCAGTCCAGCGTTCATCTGTTGATAAGTTTCCTTGAACCTGGTCCGAACGCGTTCGAACACCGTACGCCCGGGTTGCCGGGCCGCCCTAATTAATCAGATTAGACCGGCCGATTGTCCCGATTTGGAAGCCTCCGGACATCATCTGTGCGACGCACACCCATCACACAGGCCTGTGGATGGGTGGGTTGGCTCCTCACCTGTGGGGCCGGCCTGGTGGCACTGTCGAGCATGCCTGGCCGGCACACTGCGGCGCTTTTTTGAATGATGTTTCCCAAGTTTGGCGCTGGCCTTGCGTTCTGCGTTCCAACGGGTTCCGAATGCGAACTGAACCGCCTTGAACCTGAACGCCAAGTTCGGTTCAGAGTTCAAGCTGGGGCTGAACCTGAACCAAAGTTCAGGTTCGGCGTTCACCAAAAAAGTCCCTGAACTCGAACCAAACCAAACCAAACCTCGCCATCTCTACTGGCCTTAGCTTCATTTGCTCCACACATTCCTAATTCAGATACAAAGCTGTATCTGAATATGTTTCACCCAGTAATTTACCATACTAACACCTTGGGATTGTCTGCTAAGTAAGTATTCTACATTTCCTGTCAAATCGATAAATAAGTATAAGTACAATTTAGAAAATAGTCATATTAGTAGACCAGGTATTTAAGAAGGTCATTGGGCACCTGTGTGCTATTCTCAGGTTGTAGTTGATGGGATTTTTCTTACCTAAAAATTCACCTGATTCAAGTAACATTTAAAGCTGGGGGGTAGCGCCAGCCCTGTCTAGTAACATCGGGGTTTTGGTGAAAAAAAGCGGCCCGAAGCTGGACTTATTTGTGGCAGATACAGGCCCAAATAACGGGGGCCGATTGTTACGGCCCTGATTTAGGTGCACGTGACTCGGAAATTACCAAATAAGGTAATTTCCGAGTCACGTGCACAGAAATCCGCGGCCTTGATTTAAATCCAATCGGCTGACCCCATTTGGCGCCAGCTTTCCCACAAATAAGTCCTGCTTTGGGCCCCCATTTTTGCGCGAATCCCCGATGTGAGTACCTCTTCAATCTTAGTCTGTAGAAATTAATTCTTGATGGTGTAATAACTGTAATAAGGCATATGATGATAAATTACAGTCTCTACTAGTAGTACCAATACAAGACTTGGCTTAATTGCAATATATGATATGAAAGTTGTAGTAAGTTTTACAGCCAATCAATTTCAAGTTGCTCTGCATATTAAAAAATATCAAAGTTGTAGTTGCTCTGGAAGGAAGTTGCTATGTGAATACTTGAGATTGTAGTTGAGGAAATGAAAGATATTGTTTTAAATCACAAGTTGTATTAATACCTTTGGGAGGTGTTTTTGCTGGAAACATATTGCCTGAAGTTATACATAAAAAGTCTGAAAAAGAGTTGAAAGTTGTGAAAAGCTTTTGATACAGTATACCACCCATAAACAGCTCATTCAGTTTTTGTGACCATTTTGCATATACATAGTCATTGTTATTTAGTTGCCTATGGGATGTGTAGGGTAAATAGCTAACAACATATAGCTTGAATATTTACTACTGATGAAAGAGAGAGAAGTAGTAAAGGACTGTTTGACGACTGGAAGCAGGCCACTACACATTGCACAATGTTAATGTAGAGTAGGTCTCTGGAGCTCAAAACCGATGCCAGCACACTTGCAGCGGAGGGAACGGGGAAGAGAAGGAAGAGTGAAATAGTGACGTCATGGCGGTAGTTGTTGACAAAATGATGTGATCAACACGTGGCGCGGCGATCGGCTTCCTTTTCTTCACTCTTCCATGTCTGGACTCTGGACGCGCGTTGCTCATGCGAGGCGCGATGGTCAAAGCGCGTAGATGGGTATAAGTGAAGAGATACTAGGGCTACAAAGGTGTGTTTGCTACATATTATCACAATTGTCATATCTGAGTCATTCAGTTCGTCAGTCATACCCCTCCTCTTCCCGAACGCCTACAGCCCGAACACCCTAACCACCGCGACGAGCACGACCACCCACAGCATCCCCATCCGCGCCTGACTCTCTGCGCCGCTAACGAGTGGCACCGCCTGCCCGATGGTCGCGTTGAGACACGCGAGCAGGGCAAGGTCTGTCCCCGCAGGCAGCGCCGTGTCGCTCGTGCTATTCTCCGCTGCAAAGACGGCGGAGTTGTTGTACCCGTCGAGCGTCAGCGCGACCGACGACGCGCGGAAGTATTGAACGACCTGCTCGGGGAAGAGTGCGCTGCTGTTGAAGGGGGAAAGCGTGGTGTTGGCTGATGGGGACGCGAGGAATGACGAGCAGTTGGTGGTTATGGGGGCGAGGAGGGACGAGAGCGTGGTGTTGTCTGCGACCAGGTGGAATGTCGACGAAGAAGAGTTGGAGGTGAAGGGGAGGGAGGCCATGACACCACCCGGTCGAGAAGAGTTCGTTGGCTCGCCGTACTGCGCGATAGCTGGTGAGTGATTGTCAACGGAAAATGGAGGAGACTGACCTCGTCAGTGTGCATATACGCGGCACCAGCGCCGAATCCCAGTCCTGCACTCGTGCCCCACGCCAGCGGCCAGAAGTAAAAGGGAAATCCACGACCGCCAACGCCGCGACTGTAAACGCCAGGGTAGCCGCTGCCATATGCCCTGTGTCGAGTCAGCGCATCGCATTGACAATTCCGTCCACAACCCACCTTGTGCCAAACACTTGTCCCCGCGTTCCCCCGCCTGCACTCCTCCCCGCAAACAGCTGTCCACTCGGTATCATAAACGGCTTCCCCCCGCCGAAGCTAGACGTCGAGGCTGACCGCGATTTCCCGCTGCTCGTTATCGAGGAAGTTCTTCCTGACGAAGACTTTCCGCTGCTACCTGACGACGACCCGGATCCGCTCTTCCCGCTGCTTGAAGATGAGCCGCCCTTCCCGCCACTCGACGAAGAACCGCTTTTCCCGCTGGAGGATGACGACGAGGAGCCGCTCTTGCCCCCCACTGCTGCTGCCGCTGGATCGCCCACCACCAGCGCTTGCCCCGCCGCCCCGCCGTTTGGTGAGGAAGGGGACGTACATCGAATTGTGTGTGACAATAGAGAAGGGCGGGACCCCTTCTTATACGCGGCGCACTGCCCAGGACCCACTGACACAGCCCCCACTCTGGATTCAAATTTGATCGGCACAGCTTCCAAATTTGGGTGGTGGATTGGCTGTGTTTGGTTCTGGAAATGAGCTGGAGTCTACTCTTCGGCACAGGCTGTCCTGGCGGTGCGAGAACAACGCTATTCCTGTCGCAGTCTCGCAGAGGACATCTCGTATTCTCTCGGGATACTGTTTGGTGGGGGCCGTATGCACAGCCCAAGCGCTCCTGTCTGCTGTCTTTTTACTGTCGGACCCAACAGCACTATTCGGGTCCGGGATCTCTTAGATCTCTTAGAATTGCGGCGGCCGTGCGTGGCAGTAGCAGTCGATGTTGATTACCCCATGCTAAAGTTCAGGCGCTGGACGTGCACCTTGTTATCTCTGCCGCTCAGACGGCTCAGTCAGCTCCAAGTGGCGGGCAAAAATCTTGGCCGAGGTCGCATCACATCACGCATGCGCATCACATTTACCATCTTTCTGCATACGCATCAGCCGCCACCCGCCATCTGTAGCTGTCAACGGATATCCGGATATCAGCCCTCGCGGCGATCGCCATGCATATGTGTCCTCCAGGAATCGGGACTCGGGACTCAGGAAGCCGGGCAGGGTGGCGATAAAGGGACAGTAATCTCCGGCGAGCCGTGGAAGTGGAGCGCGGCGACTTGGGTGCGTGGTGAATGTATTGCGAACAGGGGAGGCAAGGGATGCGGTTTCGTCCTGGATCATGAGCGAGGTGGATAGCGATAGCGATAGCCCCTCTTCTGCGCTCGTTGGCAACGGTCAAGAAGAGCTGGGACGCGGGTGAAAAGTATACGCCGAGTCAATGCGGGCCCTTCTCCCGATCGTGGCGCCTGACCGAATATTCGTCTGCAGTGGTACCCAACGAGGAGCTCGGCGCCCACGCTCGCAGCAGTATCTAGTTGTGCGATTGGGCCCATCGGCGTCGTGGCTTCGGCTTCTGCGTGGACGGATGGCAGATTGATGTGATGCTGATGCGGATGATCATGATGCCCTTACTGCCCGCATAGATTAGCCGAGCAGAGGTGTCCGGAAATAACGACCGCTCGCTGTTCGCTGTTGGTTCGCTGGTTGCTCGTTGGCTCGGCTATTCTGGTAGGCATTTCTCGCACACGAAGCAGCGTGCACTGATAACAGCCCGTTCTTCGCCAGTGTCGAGTGTAACGCTGGAGGTGGGGGGCCACAGGGGGCGCCGCTCGCCGGCATCGCGCAACCGCGACTGCCAGGACAGATAGGAGGCCCATGCGCGATCTGCTAGGGATTTGCGGAAAGGCCGGGGCTGATACCGACCAGCCAGTCATCGGGGGACAGAAACATGATTCTGTCCTAAATATGTATGGGGTCTGCGATCGCCTTCGCAACGCTGAGCCGCTGGCGCGGATCCGGAGATGTGCCACCAGTGGCGTGCCTGGCCGTGGTAAGGTAGGTAGGGAAGGAATATGACGGTGGCGCTCGCTTGTGCTTTTGCTTTTGCCTTCTACCTTCGACGCCCACCACTGCTGCCAGCGCGATGGCGACTGCGACTACCGCTATACCGCCGCACTACACGACTTCGGGTGGGACAGGCGTGGCTCCTCTGTCATCCGTGGCTGCCTCGTTGCGAGTGCCAACACACGCTTCTTCTCTGCCCACCACTACCATCTTGCCCACCAGCACAAGCAATTCTTCGCTCGGTCGCGCTCTCTCGCTGCAGTCCATCGCCGGGCCGAGTCGGACACGAACGCGGACTTCAAGCGTCAGCACCGGCAGCGTGCTCTCTGCGGAGTCGAAGGAAATGAGCACCAACCCTGCGAGTAGGAGAGCAAAGATGGGCCTAAAGAGCCGGATGCGCTCCGCGTCGAGGATAGGCTTTTTGACTACGAGTGCGTTTTGCGTCCCCCCTCCCTTCTCTGTTTCTCCTCCGTGTATGCGGGATACCGGCATCGCTGTCGTGCCTCGTGCCTTCCACTTCTCCCGCCCGACGTCGACCATCACCGTCGTGGCCATGGACTCAATGCATCTAAGAATATCATTCATTAATGACTAACTGATCGACAGTTACCACCACTACCACGCGCAGCACATCGTCGTCAAACCCCGATTCCGACGCAGTCCCCGTTCGTGTCGTCGGCCGTGGCGGGCATGGCTCGCGGGCCAGGAATCTCTCGATCGGGAACTTGGCGGGTGCCGCGGGCATGGCGAGTAACCCGGCGCTGAGAATGACAAGGCCAAAGACGAGCGACGGCAGTGTTCCTGTGGCGGGCGGGAGTATCCGTGTTGTGGGGCGAGGCGGCATGGGGTCACGAAGGCGGGATGCGAGGGATGCAACTCCGATTTCGCCGATGCCGATAGCAGCAGCAGCAGCATCAACAGTGACTCCCCAGCCGGCTGAAACCCCGGTGTTCTTCCGCCCGACCGGCCGCGGCGGTGCGGGGTCACGGGCACGGTCGAACAGCAAGGCGAAGCCGAATTCCACGCCAAATTCACCCCCGGTTGCCTTTGCACGGCTGCTCAAACTCAAGGGCAAGGGCAAGGCGAAGCCCCCGCCGTCACCGTCACGTGGTGTTGCAACCTACGGCGCGCCGTCGTTCTCCTCCACAGGCACGATAGGCACGCTGGCACGGACGGAGAGCATCGCGCCGTCACTGTTCGACGCATCGAGCATGTACAGCGCCATCGAGTTCGCCGCGGCAGAGGGGGCCGTCGTCCCTGGCAATAGAGTTGCGGTGAGGCGACGGTATCAGAATACCGCGGGGCAGGACCCTGATTCCGACCCCGACCTCGAAACAATTGCAACGGACGATGGACAGTCGCTCGCGACCGTGCACCGCCATCCGCTCGACATGGACGGGACATCGACGTTTGCAGCATCGACAGACACGGGGAGCGTGTTCACGGAGACGGAGGACGGGTATGCTTATTACGCCTATGACGAGGAGGTCGATGCCGGCTCGCCGCTTTCGCCCGATCTGTCCTCCTCATCAGCACACGGCGAACCCGAAGGGCTCGCGACGCCGCGGGACAGCGGGAGCGGCAAGGTGCGCATCTACGAGCGCGCCTTGTCGCCGTCGCTGTCGAGCTCGCATGGGGACGTGCACTGGCTCACGGGCGGGCACGGGGACGTGTTCCGCGTCGGTGCGGGGCCTTTCCAGCACGTGCACACAGAGTCGGAGGAGAGCGGGAAGCCGGCGCAGTGGACGGGGGAGTGGAACCGCGGGGACATCCGCGACGTCATCGGCGCGCTGCGCGAGCTGCGGTTCTAGATGTTGTTTGCTGTAACTTATTTATTTTTTGTAAATTTGGACTGGGATGCAGATTTTTTTGAAGTCTGCAGAGGTATTCCAAAGAAGATCCTCTGGGTGCGCTGGAACTACCAGTAATTGGGATAAAGATTTCCACAAGCATCCATACATGGTTTTAGAGAAAATTTTCAGGTCCTAACTTCCGCGTGCTCCAAGTAACTTCACCATTTTCAGAAGTATGCCATAAGTGTCTGTTTACAAAACTAATAACAGTGCCCCATAGTTGAGGTTATTGATCTTCGTCACAGTGTTGGCTCTGATCTGATTCAGTGTTACCTGTGTCAAGACTCCCCTAGCTCCCCTCAGAAGCTGATCCCTATCTGTATCCACAATAATTGAGAAGGGCACATCACCAATGGCAACATTGGGAGGTTTGATAATACTGTTGTCAGCAGTAACCTCATCTGTTAGGTAGCCCATAAGGGTGGTGGCACCATCTTGGATGTTGTTGAGGGTAGTCTGCACTTTATCCTTTATCCACTCTGTGTACACATCCTCAAGGGGCTTGTTGTCAGGTTTAGATGCGGCAGGGGGCTTGCTCTAACATAACTCTAAGTATTTCACACTGCTAGCCTCTTAAATGTACTTACAGCAATATATGCCGTATGCCATGTTTTCCTTCAGATATTATCAGGATAAGATATTGATCTCAACATTATAGGACACATACCAGACAGCTTTAATACAGTTACTGCCGGATATGAACTGGGCCTGCACATCATTTTGCGCTAGGTATTGTGCCATTCCAAGAATCTGTTTTATGAACTTCAAATAGAGAATAGTATAGAATTACTAACCGAGCGAAGGACAAATACTTTCTTGCTATAGTCATGCTGTGTGAATTTTGCTTTTGTCCGGAATGCTTTGTTTCCAAATGCCTGTGCCAACACTATCAGTATCGGGCAGAAAGCATGTAAGTGGAAAGATTACTGCAGCCTTGAGCCGGTTCTGGTTGCCCTCCAATGTGGGCATTGTGTCAAGGACAGACTGGTGATCACTAGGCACACATCGACGCAGCTGATCAATGAGATTCTCATTTGTTCTCATCATCCTGTTTGGAGGCACAGGAAAATTTGTTATCCCTTTGATATAGGTTGTGACAAAACTTTTGAATTCCTTCTGGTCAGGACCAGGTCCGGAGCCATATATCAATGGTTGATTTGTGAACAGAAAATCAATGAACTGTGTCACTAAGAGACCAAAAATCAGCTCTGTGGCTCAGAGGTCAGTTTTACATACTGAGTTGCATTTCATAGACATGCTCTTTTGCATAGGACTCGCCAGGATTCTCAATAAGGACACCTGGGTCAGGTACATTGTCAGAAGTCAAGTCAGTTGGTCTTGCTAGATAGTAGAAATTTCCATCAGTCCCAGAATCTGTTAGATGAGTCAGTTCCATTTTGGCCCAAATCAGTTGGAGAGTGTTACATGGCCAGGGTCCAAAAGATATGCCCCCCCTTTTGGGATGTAACCTGAAATTTTAAATAAACTAAAAATTTTATATAAAACTGTCACATACCATAGGTGTGGGCAATGAGAGTCTCTTAGTTAAATTTCCACCCAATATTTCAAAGTCCCGGGGCAATAGGTCTCCAGGTGCTGCCCCAATATTATCTAAAGCAGTCGGTTAGTAAATATCTTCTACTATGAAGAAATATACCATCAACACTGTTTATATGATCAGAAAGCAGGGCCAAGGGTAGAATGTAAAGCTTACTATTCAGGCTGCTCCAGGTCAAGTTCGCGCCAGATATCATTATCCCATCGGACTCCTCCAACTTGTTCTCCTACTGATGGACAGTTCATCCATCCAGGGCACTTTCTCTTCCCAGTTCTGGATTCAAGTTGACTTGTTGGCTGTATGCTTGTGGTTGGGGAGGACTGAAGATATGCAGGAGAATTTGTTGAGTTAAGTAAGGCAAAATCTGGAAGAGAGCCATCTTGATATTGGATATGTAATGGCTGTGAATATCGCTTGGATTGAGAACTACCACTGAGAGATGGCTCTGTAATAGAGCTCCAGCACTATGCTTGTTAGCTCTAGGAACTCCCTCTTACCAAGCACTATACCTTATCTCCAACAACAGTATTGCTGGTATAAAAAGGCCAATTAGTAGAGCCAGGCTCCCAGTAGAGCACATTTCCTATCAGTCCTCCTGATAGTTGAACCCCATAATGAGGAATGACACAGATCTATAAGGTTCATACAGGAATTTAGATATTCTAGAGACCTACCTCTGGGCTGACTGAATTTGACACTGAGCCATTAAAGCCAATTCCTGCAGATATATCTAGCCAAAAATTCATATAGGATAAATGACAAGAAAAGTGATATACATACCTGCCTGCACATATGCTTGGGCATCAATCAATTTCCCATCCAGCAGTTGGATTCCTAGTTGTATAGATGGTACCAGATGAATGGATATGTCACCATCAAGCTCCATCTCATAACTGAAGTCATAGCCATAGCCACTACTAACTGAGCTATAAAATATATGAGCAAGAGTATTTTAGAGAAGGTAATGACAGACGGAGCTGTAGCAGCTGGGCCTACTTGATCAGTACTTTTGCCAAGTGCAAAAGACACTGAAGGGAAGTCATATGTGATGCCAGTTGTTAAGCTCCTATACAAGATATGAAAACTTGCATCTGATATCATATTGTCTGAAGTGAATAATTACCCTGCTACAGAAATCTGTCCATTGACTTTATATATCACTTTCAGAGACTGTAAAAGATATTATTCCAGAGCACATACTATATCCAGTAAGCTTAAGTGTTGGTCCTATAGCTGCCAGACCAGGGACATATAATCCTGGAAATCCATATGTTCCTAGGACAACTATTGATGGAATGAGAATCAACATTCTAATATCACCTGATATACTTACTTGGCTCAGAGTTATATGTTACATCTGCTTGGCCTTCAATGGTGACTGAAAGTGAGGCACGTGCATCAGAACCTAGGGAAGATCATGGGTGTTATTATATGCCCAACATAGAATTGAAAGGATGCTTGCTAAAATAGAGATATGCTGCAGTGATTTCTGGAGGGACCACAGTGCCCTATACATAAGTACTTAATATACTTAAACATGTTAGATACAACTTACCTCTATATATAGTCCATATTTAGTATTTAGTCCTATCAAAGAGATGTTAAACTATAACAAATAACATAAAAACCGACATACTGGCTTGGCCACTGAGATTGATATCCAATGTAGATTTGAACTGTGGTAGGCCTGCACATTCACGGGTATCATGAAAAATTGGAATTGTATCTAATGTTGTTTAGTAAATGTTAACAATGAAGATATAGGCTTTTACCATGCCAATCTAGATAATGTCAGTAATATTGATTCCTTATCAGATATCTCTTACTGAAAGATCTGGTATATGGAAGATTTGTGGTAATAGTATTGATCTTGGCAAACCAGTCTGGAAATCCTCCAAACCAGCGTTTGACAACAGGTTTATCCAGAGTATGATCTAGAATTCTGAAAATAAATTATCAGAACATATTCGCAAATGCAAGAATATAGCTAACTGTCGTTTACGCGAGGGTGCAGAGGCCACAATGTTATCCCTAAATTCAATAAATAAATGATAGACATAAGAGTTTTCCTTACCAGTAACTTGGCATATCAGATGAATCTATAAAACTTTGTGTAAGTAGTATCAAGTGGCATTAAAAGGCCTTACCAATACGCATATATATTGGTCCATTCTCAAGAGGAACTGCTGTAAAGTCATAGTCAAAGTGTAGAAGATAGACACTTTCATTGGCAGGCTTGATTGCTAAATGACTACTAGGGAGGACACTGTGATTAGATTGCAGTTGAAGACTGATGATGCGGGCATAAGGGCCTGCACCACAGGATTGAGGAAGTTCAATAATTGTGTTTTCTGCCCCTCCTATAGGATAGATATTTAGCATAACCCAGTCATATTCTCTATAATAGAGGCAGACCAATGTGAACATGGGCACAAGAGGGGTCATTTGGCTTGGAGCAATACACAAGTACCTAGACATTTATTAGTCTCCTGTTATTTTTGGATGCCTTGAACAATACAGTTTGCTCTTGATCACTGTGGGGATCACAGTTTATGATCACCCAGTTGGACGTAGTAGCCATGGAGGAGACAGAGCTTGCCTTTGGTGAGCTAATAACTACTTCACCAAAGGCTGCAGGATGATCTATCTGATTTCCATTTGGGTAGGATGAATTGCTACTGATCAATGATGCAGTTGTTCCTATATCATTGCTGAGCTCAACATATGCTGCCTCAGTGCTGGATATGTTGGTATTAGGGAACACATCCACTAGCGGTATCTTGTCTGTAACTGCTGGATCACAGCAGAAAACACGACCACCACCACCACTACATGGCCTCTGACCATCACCCAGTAGATCAGTTACTGAAAATATTAAGAAGGATCAGTAGCATTTGTAATAATTCTTACATAAACTAATTTGTCCTGCAGGACAAGCAGCATCATCACCTAGATGGATTAGTGACCAAATTCATAAAAAGATGGAAATGAAATATAGTACATAAAGGAGGTGTTCCATGCCATCCACAGTTGGAATATGGCAATGGGTATGGACATGACCAGTTGGGACCTGTGGGTGTATTAGTATGTATATATATTGAATAGAACATTCTTATACTATTTATGGTACATTCAGGGGGGAAGGGAGCATCAACTGTACAGCAAATCCCAGCTGTTCCACTGATGCAGAAGTCTGAAGTGGTGGGACCAAAGACATCTTTGCCAACCATGAGCTCATTTGAGTTACATTGAGGATTGCAGGGTGTGATTTGATTAGTATATCCACCCTCTGATGTTTATATCAATAAAAAAAAGCAGAGAAATGTTTATCAGATATAACTGACTCCGACATTCTGCTGGAAGGTAGGGTCTTGGGCAACAGACATTGGCAGGATTGTTC